AGACAAATGGGTAATTAATTATATAATATATATATGTATAATATTATATTATGTATCTTGATTAAAATTGATTTTATTAATATATATTGTAAAAAAAAAATTAAAAAAATTTTCAGAGAGTGAAAAACAACTTACCCAAGATAAAATTCTTAATAATAAAGATTTTGTACCTTGGTGAAAGAATGAGCCCAACCAATTCCACATTGAAAGTAAAATAAGATAAGGGAAAACTAGTTGATCTTTCCTCAAAAGTGGAAACAAGCTAATGTGCATTTGCACACAAACATACATTAATTTACTAAATTATTTTTTGTTTCAAAGATCAGGAAATCCAAATATTTGGGGAAAATTTTTACCTAAACGTTGCAACATTAATAAACAAAGGGCTCCAAAATGGTTCATCCATGATTAATAAGGTGATGGGCAATGCTGGTAATAATATTGATTTCTCATGTACCTGAAAAGAAAACAAAAAAAAGGCTAAAGAACAATTTGCTAAGCTATATACAAGTTGATGTTTATCAGTTGTTATTCCAATGTAAAAACAAGTTGGTAAAATAGCTATAAGAGTTGTTAAAAGGCTAAAAAAAAATCAACATTTATTATTGTTATTATTGTAAAAAATAACATATTTAATACACACACACATATATATTGAACAACCATTAAATAATTTACCTCAACTTTGTTAATACATAGATTTCAAACAATTCACGTAATTTAATAATCACATTTATAGAACACCAAATGTTGGCAACTTTATCTTCATATAATCCACGATATAAAGGGAAAATACGCCAAATCACTTGTGTAATCTGATCAAGTGAATCTAAGAATGGAAAAAACATCACACTAAATGTTATAATTACTGTTAAGCCTAATTTTAAAAAAAGAATAAACCTATTTACACAATTTTTTTTAAAAAACAATAATAATTAATAAATCAATTTTAATCAAGATACATAATATAATATTATACATATATATATTATATAATTAATTACCCATTTGTCTTAATACATTTTCCTAATAAATAAGCAAAAATCACAGGAGCATAATAAAGTGCCATTTGTTTAAAACATATGGAAAGACAAAAAAAAATGCTCCCTAAAATATCATAATCATAAAAAAAACAATTCAATGACCATAGTGTAAATCCAAGCATCAACGAATTATATCTAATGAGATTCAATACAACAAGTGATATTAGAAAGCATTCTCTCTTATATTCTCAGGCATTTAGAATAAATAAATAATAGTTACTGGAAATGTCCATGATCTATTAATATTAGAGCTGGTTGCATCAAAATAAACAAAGTTGTCACTTCCTAATCAACAAATTTTCAAACATTAAAAAGTATCATTCATATATAAAGACATATATATTTTCAAAAATATTAAACCATACTTTCTTCTTCCATGAATCAACAAACCACCAATTTACAAATACTAAAACTGAAGGTATAAATATCAGATATTCTAGGATTAACACACTTGATCTCATAAATATTTTAAGTTCTGTACTTTCATAACCACGAGATTCATCTAGTTCAACCCATTCAGGGTTAATTAAATATCCTCTATTGAAAATATATGCATAAATAAATATATGGATTTAATATTTTAAATGGAAATTGGAATTATTTTCTTATTTTCTTAAATTATACATACATTTTGCCACAAATCCAACTTACATATGCTGTCAGTGGAGGATAATCAAGGCCCCACCATTCTGTGTCATAATAATACCACTGTTTAATTGGAACATTTAATGTCAACTCCATCCAATGTCTTTGTGCTTCAAAATCTCCATATATTGGTGGAGTATTGTAACCTGAATAAACTCATAAATTATAAAAGCAAACCTTTTTCTTTAAAAAACCAAATAACATTAATAGATATTATACCTGAGTATGGATTTAAACCTACAGTCCATTTTATATAAATTCCAAAGATTAAGCTTAACAAAGTTGACCATTTTTCTAATTGAGAATTACTCAACCAATCAAACCACCTTGTTGCGGGTGAATTTATTGTCAAAAATGAATTTTCCTTAAAAATTGAGGTATTTCCATTATTCAAATTTGATGAACTTTTTTTACTCATTAAAATATTTAATTAAAAAGAATATTATTTATGATTTAAAAAAGTTGTCCACGATTTTTGATCATAAATGAATGATCCATTACGTAATGATCTCATATATAAGCGTCTAGTTAGGCAAAATAACTACCTTTATTTAGCCTTATACATGCAGATTATTACGTAAATGTGTCAATGATATGTCAATTTTATCGTTTTCAAAACTTTTTAAAAATGGAATCATCATCATCGAAAGGAAAAAAAAAAGTTTCATTCGAAGACTCTACTAAATTTTATCAATCAAAAATTGAGCAGTCAATTTTTGATACAAATAAAGCATTAGAACATTGGTGTAATTATGAGAAAGATTATGAAGCATTGAAATCTACGTTGAAAGTTTTGAATAAAGAAACCGAACATAATGTTATGGTAAATTTTTTTAATGTTTGTAAAAAAATGTTCATATGTTTTAATATGATATGATTAATTTATTGTATATTGAAAAATAAAAAACAAAGGTTCCAATTAGTAAATTTGCGTTTATGCCAGGAAAACTTGTACATACCAATGAAATATTAGTATTGCTTGGTGATAATTGGTTTGTTGAACGCTCTGCATATCAAGCAATTGGAATCGTCGATAGAAGAATTGAAAGTAGGTAATATCTATAAATGATTTTATTTATTAAATAAAATATCAAGAAACCAAAAGAACTAGATTTTTAGAAATATTAATTTTTTCCTTTGTCAAAAAAAGTGGTTAATAAAACAATAGAAGATTTAAAAGTTCAAATTGAAAATCTAAAATCCAAAATCCATCTTACTTCAGAAGTTTTGAATTTCCCTAGTAAAAAGCAAATAGTAAATTATAATAAATAATATTATAATGACACTTGTAAAGATATTTTTTTTTTTAACAATGGTTTTCACCTTATAATTTAAAATATTGTTAATTTAGTTGAATGAAGAAGGATTACCTTTTGTTGACATTGTTGAAGAATATCATTCTGATGAAGAAAAAGAATCAACAAAAAAGCCAACGAAAAAAGGTAGACATTTTGTGAAATTTTTTTAAAAATTAAATTAATTGAATTATGTTTTTGATTTTGTTAATTATTAATTATATATACAGTGAAATTTGAAAAAGATGTAAAGTCAGGTTATTATGATCTGAAATTTTTAGATAAATTCATTGAAGAGGAGGAGGAAGAGTTGAAACGTATACAGCAGCAAGATTCTGATGATGAAGATGATGAAGATGAAGAAGATGATGATGATGATAGTGACAATGAGGATGAATTTAGACACACGCAACAACAAGATTCAGATGATGAGGATGAGTATGAGGATGATTACAATTATAATAATGATAACAATGGCGGTGGTGGTGGTGATGGTGATGATGATGGTGATGATGATGATGATGATGATGATGATGATGATGATGATGATGATGATGATAAAAGTATATTAAAAAAAAATTTTAAGAATAAAGTAATCAAAGAAATTGTAGTTGAAAAGGATTTCAAATCTGAAGTTGGTTTAGATGAATTGGAAAACCAGTTTTGGATGAAAGAGGTAATGAGTAAAATAATTTTCTTGAATTGCACGCATTAATTTATTTTTATTTACTTTGTACAGATTGCTTCAGAGTATCATCAAAAACGTCTTGATATCATAGCAAAAGAAGGTGGACTTTTGAAAGAAAAAAATGAGGTTCTTAAAACTTTATGATTTTCCTTTTCTTCCCTATTAGAATTATTAATTAATTGGATATTATGGAAAATTTACCTTTCAACACAAATAAAATGCAGTTATCACCTTCTGTGAATCAGGTGAGACAAGAACAGAACCAACAAGAATTGCAACCACCAGTAACAGAAAAGGTAGAAAAGCCAAAAAAGATTTCAAGGTTTAAAGCTGCAAGGATCCAAGGGAAATTAGAGTGATTCCTATAAAATAAAATAACTTTACCCATTATGACTATAGCTAAACTACTAATTTTTGCTTGTAATAATAATAATTACTATTGTTATTATTATTAGCATATTGCCAATAAAATTATATGTTACAGTCTGAAATGGATGGTGCAAGTAAAATTTTTCGTTTTTAAATTTAAAAGCAAGAAAATCGCACTGGGATGCAAATCAATAAAGCAAGAAAGGTGGAAATTATTATAATCATTCATGCCTTCTTCAAATTCATCTTGGAAAAGTCCCTAAAAAAAATCAAGAAATCAATTTATTCACTAAACAATAAATAATTGAAGAAATAAAGAATGATTTATTTGATAATAGTCTTAAATATAATTACAGCATTTTTGATAAATATACAAATTTTTAAAAATACATTCCTAATAAAATGGTTATAAAATCAACTTTCACAATCTGGATCTTTGAATATTGGTAATATATGTATACAGTCTGCTAAATAATTTTGATTTACCTATTATATAAAAATCTCATGCTTTGGCAAATTTAAACAAGTGTTACAGGCCAAAAATCTTTTCCGAGAAAAAACCAACCAAACTTTATTATTATATATCAATATTAATATAAATATTATTATACGCATATAATTTGACAGCTATAGAATATATGTACTAAAAAGGAATAGGACTTAACAATATTATCAATATTTTGAAAAGGATTCTTTTTAAAAATTTTGAACATAAACAGGATTTATCAAGAATAAACCGGAAAACCCGATCCTTTAAGTATTATTTCGGGTCTGACCCAAGCAGGATGTATAAGAACTTTTTTTATTTTCATTCCATCATACTACTTTGTATTAGATTTAACTAATTATGTGTTTATGACATCTTATTACTAATACACATGTGAATAAATATTTGAAATAAAGATACATCATGTAAAAAAAATACATTTCATCTCAATGAGGCTAAATCTTTAAACATAGGGATATAGTTAACTGATAGACCAAATTCACAACTTTGTTCTTATCTTGCTTCATATATCTGATAAGTTTTCCTGGATGATCTCAAAATCTATATAAATATTAGGTCAATCTCAAACATCGAAAAATGGAAAATACAAATATTTGATATCGAGGTAGCAAAAACTTCAGAGGTAAACATCATCAATAAATTAAACGAATTAAGTAACCCTTCCGCCCAATTACTATGATATCTTTAAACAAGGAAAATTCCAGATAGGAAAGAAAGTAGATGTTGAACTTGACTCATCGGTGTTACTATTGCCACAATTTTATTTATTCGCTTCATCTTAATTCCATAAACCTTGATATATTAATATATCACATAGCTCATTGTTATACACGGGACATGTTCGACTAATGTCGAGCGGACACAGACATGTCCCGGACAATGTCCGCGTAACAATTTGTCGTGTCCGCTCATTTATTAAATGTCCCGGACGTCCAGGACTAATAGTACAAGCTACAAGTTAACGTGAGAAAACGCCTTTACCATCGACATATTATTAGAACCGATATTGAATCAAACCAAAGCAATTCAAAAACCTTTTGTAAAGCATATGTTGAAGAATCAGGAGAAGAAAAAATGGTTTCCAAAAAAAAAAATCGAATAATTCGGCATCTAAATAAATGTCTAATTTAACAAATACGAGGCGTAAAATTAGGCGTAACTCAATTAACACAATTATAATTGTTTAAACGACTTTGCACAAATGTTAAGACAAGATCAAGGAAATTATTATAAATAATATCAGTTAATTAATCAACCGGGTAATTAAATAACCCTATATTAATAATTCAGAGAGTAGAGACAGAAAGTAAAGACTTTTGTCCAAAGAATGTCCGGCACATTTAAAGTAGCAGACACGAACAACATTGATATAGTTGTAACTTCAAAATCGATCGACACATTCCCAATGAATTAGGAAATTTGCATCGTCTCCATGTCTTTGTAATCGGGTCGCTCATTTGTTCTATATTATCAATATTTTCATCGAATACATTGTCAAGTATTTTAGGGGAATTCCCATTGACATGGGTGATATTATGTGAAGAATGGCTTCCAATGCTAAGGATTGCCAACCGAATGATCCAGAATTATATCTACTTTGCCAATTGCTCAAAACTTAAATTGATATATATTAATACAACGTATTGTTAATATACTACCTCCTGTCTAAACATATCAAACCGATAGATTAATTGCTAACTTATCTAATAATATTTTCTTCCTCTTCCTTACAAACATCCATCAAGAATCACTCACCACAGCCATTGGCCTTCTATGCAAATGGTTCTCTATCAGAAAGATATTGCAGTACTACGGAACTTGTATTTTATTCGCATGACAAGGTACTCTGATGGATTGATTCTGTGAAGATTTTATTGGTTCATAATGACAGGGTTTTTATCTAGAAACGACATTGTTGATGACCTTCACCTTCAAAAAATAATAGAATTAACTGAATGAGGACTTTGTTCAATTGAAACTGTTACATGGACTATATACTTTGCATTCATGATGTTCGGTCCAATTGATCAATATTACTCGATTTTAAATAAAATTTTCTTATGTGCCCCCGTTCATCCGCCGTGACAAGGTTTGACTGTATTATGTAATAATGGTTTTAAATTATTTATCAGTGAAGTTTTTATAAAGAAATATTCTAATTTAACATTAAAAAGACAGAATTACAATCTTTGATGGTGCATTATATTTATATATATGCCATATAAAATATCCTTTGCAGAAAACTAGAGGTTGGAATCGACTAAAATAGTCGACTAAACTTTTTTTTGAGCAACTAATAATCGACTACTAATACTACTACAGTCGAACCTCGTTATAACGAACACACTGGTTTGGCCTCAATGATCCGTTATAACGAGGTACTCGGTAACCAAGGTAATTGATGATCAGCACGTGATACTTTTAACTTTTTTTATTTAATTAATATATTTTTTTAACGATAATAATAATAAAATTGTACAACATAATAATAATATTAATAATATTATAACTGATAAAATAATATTAAAGAAGTCAAATGTGATATGGCATGGCACTATTGTTTGATAAAATAAGAAGTTACTTTTCCTTGGTTAAAACTTTTAAAATTATACAAATTAATTTTTTCTTTAATGCACGAAAAACTTTGAGTTCATTATAATCTAATTCTAAACCATCATTACCTTGCTCAAAAAATTTATGAGCAGTTTCAAAAGCAGTAACAGCATCCTTGATTGAAATACAAGGTAATGTTGGAACGTTTTCTTCAATTTCTTCCTCAGCTGGAGTAAGTGATAAGATTATTTGTTCATCAGTTACCATTTCAACACTTACATCTGCATCATCTATTGAAATGAATTCTGTTGCTGTTAGAGGTGAATTAATTGGTAAATTATTAATTAAATTTTGAACAGCATTTTCTTCTTCTTGAAGGATTTCATTTACTAAATTGTTGGCTTGTTCTATTTCTATATGATATAAATCATTTTCTTCTGGAAGAATTCCAGTTTTTTTCCAACAATTAGAAATAATTTCTGGTGTAACAAAATCCCAAGCTCTTGCAACCATCTTAACTACATGATAAATGTTAATTGGATCAGGTTCTAAGCCAGACTGTTCTTCATCAAAATTATTTATTCTTTTTTTCAAAAATAATCTTTTATAATGAGCTTTGAAACTATGAATGATGCCTGCATCACATGGTTGTAAATGTGCTGTGATGTTTGGTGGTAAATAATGAATCGTTATGTTTGGGAAAGTGATACCCTCTGTTAAGGTATGTGTTGGAGCATTATAAACTAATAATATAATATTCCTATTTTCATCTTGCATTTTTTTATTTAATTTTTTGAGATAATTGTTCCATGTAGAGACTTGCATCCAAGCTGTGTTATTCCAATAATAATCTACTGGTAATGAGTTTTTATTTATTCCTCTCAATGGTCTTGGGTTTTGGTGCTTGTGTATAAATAAGGGGATTAATTTTTCTGTGCCAGTTGAGTTACATGTTAAAAGAACTGTAACTCTATCCTTATTTTTTTTGGTTCCTGGAAGTGGTCCAGTTGATAACCCACGATTAGGTTCCATTTTCCAGAACAAACCAGTCTCATCACAGTTGAAGACATCCTCCCGCCTATACTGTTGAAGGACTTCTCTTAAATTTATTCTCATCTGTGGAATCTCACTTATTGGAGCACTTTGGGCTTCTCCATGTTTATTAAATGCTTGAATTGAGAATCTATGCTTAAAATTTTCAAGCCACCCTTGAGATGCTTTAAAGTTATGATGATTTAACAAATCAGCAAAATCTAGGGCCTTTTGTTGAATTATGGCACCTGTGATTGTCAAATTACATTCAAGAGCTTTTTCAATCCACAAGATTAATGCCTCTTCAATATTTATTAAAGGTGAGGGATGTAATTTTTTTAATGTTGCTTGATATGAATTTGGATCAACATGAAGCCATTTGTTAGAACTTCTTAAGATATCACTAACTTGTCATGTACTGATTCCAAATTCTCTAGCCAAATCAACATTTTTTTTATTCAGTTCTCTTTGTTTTATTGAACAAATTTCAAATTTTTGTACAGCAGTAAGGTGGATGCGTTTTTTTTGTCTTTGTTGAGACATTAGAAATTTTTTTATGAACTTTTATTAAAAAATGTTTGATTTTATATTGTGTATGTATTTTATTATTAAATTTATTTCATGTATGAACAGATGGGATTTTTATTATTATAATTTGTTTTTGCATACGGACAGACGGGATTTTTATTATTTTTATTATTCAAAGAAAAACACAATATGGATTTTTTTTTACTTTTAGATTTCTTTTTCCATTTCTCTATTTTTGCCAATTAAACCAATGGCATTTTATTTACTTGACAAAGTGTTTAATAAATAATTGTTAAAAGCAACATCCACATTTCTATTAACTGTTTAATAATTTTATTTTATTAATTATTGTTATAATTTGAAACCTTTAAAGAGTATCTTGGATAGAAGCTATAAAATAAAATATGGCGAATGAGCAATTGCAGATGAATGTCTTGTAATAATAAAAGGGAAACAAAAAGATCAAATAAAAATACAAACGAATGTATCCTTTGTAAAAAATAAAAAAGGGTAAAAAGATCAAATAAAAATACAAATGAATGTATCCTTTGTAAAAAATAAAAAAAAATAAAAATAGTTGAAAAAAGATCAAATGATAATGCAGTCTTCAAACAATGAATGTATTGTAAAAAAGGAAATAGATCAAACAATAAATATATTGTAGAAAAGGAATGAATGTATTGTAAAAATACAAACTTGAACATTTTTAGTATAGACGATCTGTGTTCATCAAAAAATTCGGTATAATGTGACTAGTAATATATATAAAATTTTTTAATAAATGTTCATTATACGGAATAACAAGGTTTATCATATAAATTCATTATAACAAAATTTTTTATTTAATATTAATAAAAAAAATTCAGGAAAAGATTTTGTTCAGTATAACAAAAATCCGTTATAACAAGGTCCATTATAACGAGGTTCGACTGCACTATAAGATGTAACCATTAGCAAAGCGATGGTTATACCTAGTAAATATAAATAGAACTTTCTCAAAAAACAACCCATTTATAGTGCAGTCAACATTATTGTAAATAAAACTGATACAGTAACCTCCAAAAAGTATTTGTATGATTTAAATAATTGAATGAATATAGTGATATAAAAAGTAATTTTTTTACTAGCAAAAATACACATATGTACTAAGAAATAGATCATCACTAAGATGAAATATACAACATATTCCAAGATTGCGGTATTATATTCATTATCCATGTTGTTGTGACCTCTAGAAGACAAATGAAAGAAAATTGAAATTTTTATTTTTGAAAAAATTCTAAAAAATATTCTCGAATTTTTAATTTTTTATACAGTAATTTTTAAGATAGAAATCCAGAGATTCCTACATATAAAAGTAATAAGAATATCCCTTTAAAAGTTGGTATATGGATATATTGAGATTTATTTCGTGTATATATTGGCTGTAATAATTAGTGTTTTACAAAAAATTTGCACTTATGAAATTTTTTATGTATATATCACAAATTAAATAATTTAGGTAATATTAATAATATGGAGTGAATATTTCTACACATAATACATACATGTGGAAAAAAGTTAATTGTTAAAATAATGGGATATTTACACAAAGCATTGGTCTAGTTTGCAGATCAACAAACAAGTTGGTACTTTTTTTAAGCAAATATATAAAAAACTTTATTTTTAGAAGAGAATTTTAACAACCCATGTAGATTCTTCATATTTTTTCCCATACTAAATCAACTAGTAGATATGATCAAAAATTGAAAATACATCATTTTTCACTTGGATTATATTCGGAGTATTGGTGGTTTCATGTAATGGTGATGATGGTGGGGGTGGAGTTGAATGACAAATCTTTGCTATGGCAGAAATCTTTTTGTTCAACCATAACAATGTATGCTATATGAGATGAAAATGTTAGCACTCGGTAAGAACAAAATGACATTTAGTATATAAATACATACTAGAAGTCCAAGGAAATTTTGGATTAATATGTCTAACATTTCATCCATCATGGAAAGTGTCATAGGAATGTCTAGAGTAGCCATTTCAGAAAAGAAATAGAACCTTGAACCATAATTATACGAAAGTGAGTATATAGTCCAATGGTTCCCTGTCAGTTATGTGTGATAAAGTGAGCATATTCAGAGGCATGAATGAAAATCCATAAAAGAAAATTTACATGTTCTATACCTGAAACTTGAATTCCGATCATAAAGATTTCAGTATAATCCTCTTTTACAAAGTAAAGTTTATCACGAAAATTGTCTAACATGTCTTTAAGCTCTATTTTAAGAGCTGTATGGTCCCTGCATACCTTCATGTCATCTATATTCAATTCTTCCGTATTTCCCACTTCTACAGAGATTATTTCAACCCCATAATTACATAGCTCTAACATCATATCCACCTGTGTAGACTTATTGTCAAGCTTCATGTAATCCACATGGATTTTTCTTCTCTACCGAGATGTGACTGCCTTAGAAGTTTTTTCGATCCTAAATAAATTTTTAAAGGTTACACAATGTTGACTATTCAATAATAGTAATTCACAATGACATACCAAAATATATTAAAGTGACCGCTGTCAAATTCCTCGAACAAATCACTCAAAAGGGGTGACAGAATCTTTACAATGTAGTC